AATGTTGAAATTAAATAAAATGTATATTTTAAAAAAACTTCAACTTATTGTAATTCAGTTAGTTACCAAGGAAACATTTCTCATTTTCATTTAGTTTAACTTTATGTTGTAAAATAACTAATGCCAAAACTGAAATAAAATAATAATAAAAGCTATATAGACATATGATGCTGCTAAAAAGAACATTATTTGGTGTATTTGGTGTAATGAAATGTTTATGCGGTTTAAGGTTAAAAAAAACATTATTTTCCACATACTGTACATTATTGTTTCTCCTCTATGCCCCGCCTTTCTGAAATGCGTAGATTTTTACAAAGCTCATCGGTCTGAAAAGCGAGGTGTGCTGTGATTGGCCAGCTATCCAGTGCGTTGTGATTGGCCAAATTCCTCAAGCGTGAGACGGAAATGTTGCACCCCTCACCATACTGTGATGCTGTGTCCGGCCGGAGCGATGAGACAAAAACATTAAAACCCATTATATATGAGGCATTCGTTGCATCTAGTGGGGAAATAAATACGGATTATAAAGACTTATACTGTCTTTTTACGCGTTGCATCGCACCGCGTAAACATAAAACCATGTCTGCATTTGTGATCGGAGAAATGACGAACAACAAGCGCTACTCTACACTGCCCAAAACTCGCGTTTGAATCGTCAGTGGCAAATTCTTTAAAAATGAAAACGTACTTACAGTCTGTGAGTCAGAACAGCCGGCATTGTAGTCTACTCTCCCAGGATCAGGAAACAGTCCTCCATAAAATGTGCTGCACACATCTGAATATTTGGGTTGAACTGTTCTGGAACAGTGTTGTAAATACAAAGTAACCACTGATTTCTAGTCACGTCCTCTTTTGGAAGGCCAAACACAACGAAACACACAGTGTCTTCACAACATGGCGATGGTGGCGGCGGTGGTGGCAGCAACAATAAAGTTACGCCTTCTTTCTTTACGTGGGTGGTGTTATGCAAATCTTCCCACATCGTGACGTAGACATGTGGGGGCGTGTTTAAACGAGGCGTTTTAGGAGGGCGTGGACGAGTTTTAACTTTTATAAAGAATATCTCTTTGGTTTTGAGACTTTAGTCTTTGCAACTTTAGAGATCTTATCTATGCACGAACAGCTTGTAACACTCCAAAGAGAAAGGAAAACTCATATGACCCCTTAAAAAAAAAACACACACACAATATAAAAATAAAAACGAATTTGAACTATTAATAAAATTAAAAAAAATAGTTATATATATATATTTTTTTATTTTTTATTATTATTTTTTTTTTTTTCCTGTTCTGGTGCTAAAGACATAAATCAGTTGCTGTGTTGATTAAATCAGGATAAATTGGTTACTTCAGAGACTAGATGTTTCATTTCAATCATGATGCACAACAATGAAGTACACATCCAAAATGTCCATTATCACCAATAAATAATGTAAAAAAATCCCTCTTTTACAGGATGCTGACTTTTTGGCCATGACAAACATCCATCATAACCTCAAAGACTCTCCGTCAGGTCTGGCCCTTATGGACTCCAACCCGAAGCAGAGCCACGGGACATGGTCCTCACCAGACTCCAGCATCATGTACCGCTTCACAAACAGCCAGACTCTTCCTCTGACACGACAGCAGTCCAGATCCCTGCTTCCAGACGCCACAGCAGCTCTGGAGCTCCACAGACCGCCGTCTGATCCAGGACTGCACTGACCCTCTCCTCTAACGTAGGGAAAGTCCAGGACGTCCCACGGCTCTTCCAGACCTACTTGGAAGCATAAAGGACATTTTAAAACAGGCATTGGCCCAGACTTTAACACTAATGTGACTTAGGATTCACCACTGGCTCTCGCCTGTACATTTGCTTCCTCTTCCTTCTCCTGCGTTACGCTCCTTGATGCTGTCGAGGACGATTTGGAATGGATTTCTGGTCAACACTTCCATTTTCAGGAAGTCAGTCTCTTACTTTTCCACATACTCTGTGTTCTGCACACTTTTACACTGGTGTAAGACTCAGGACATTGATGGTGGTTAATTTATCATACTGGCAGAATCTCTTCCCTGTTTTAGCATTATGAATCTAAATTATAATAATGGCATTTTACACTTCCATTTGCAGAACCCTGTGGAATTACATACAGTGTGGTCCCACTAGTTTTTTTTTTTTGCATTATTTTCTAATTTAATACAATGTTTTTCACTACAGTTAAACAGAATATTTTTAATATATTTTTAAAAAATGAAAAATATATGTTAATTTGACAAAAATAGCATTTCAGTTGACAATATTATAAAAAAACTGCAAGCATGTCAAACTGTAACAAACCAAAACTGCCATACACAAGAAGAAAAATTAATTAATACATATAAATTTGTATACATTCAGTGCATTATGAAGTAAATTAATTTTATATTAAAGTTTCATGTAAATTAAAAAAAATGGAAAATTTAACATTTTCAATGAGCTTCGGGTTTTGGATTCCACTAGTGAAAATTATTGTTTATATTTATATGTATCTTATTATAATTATAATATTTATATATTTTTATTTATATTATATTTATTCTTTATTTATATATATATATATTTGTTTGCATTATTTTCCAATTTAGCACATTTTTCACTAGAATTAAACATTGTTACACAAAATATTTTGGACCAAAAAATGTATTTGACAAAAATAACATATCAGTTAACAAAATCATGAAAAATAATGCAAATATATATAATCAGTATACAATTTGTGTGAAAAGTTAAATTGCAACATACATATAAATGTGAATTTTTATTCATTTATTCCTTATGATGCAAATTCATTTTACATCATAAAATGTCATATATAAATAAAAAAGGTTTTTAATGTTCTCTCAGAGTTTTGGACCACACTGCAGCAAAATATTGGTTTGTTTGCAATTTTTTTTTATTTATTTAACTTTTCTTTTCTTTTTTTTATCTTAATCAGCTGCCATGTACATACATGATACCCCTCTATTAAATGAAAAGAGATGCATGGCTGAAGGTTTTACGTGTTGCATGTTTACTGCAACATATTGGGAAGCAGGTTTACTGTATGTCGGCATGTTTCAGAGCTAATCACTGAATGCACTCCTCTCTAATCGACTAGGTTTCTTTGCACATGGTCATGCTAGCTTGAACCAAACTCTGCACGGCATAAAACAGTGACACTGATCAGCTTCTCTGCAAGCACGGGCGTACAAGACGGCCTCACACGTAATAATAATAACATGGAATACAAACATACTTTTTAATGCAGTTAAACTGCATTTACACTGGAGTCACAACTGTGGGATATAATGAATCATAGACACTCAAAACTATCATCTGTCATTCAAACAGATGCACAGAAAATATCATAGCGGAGCACAAACACAATGACGTCACTGCTCAGTAGTGCGATACGCCACTGTTTGCAAAGCACATGTTAGTCTCATATGTAGCTATGAATATTTATGCATAACAGAATATGTACATTTATCAACTTCTGGTTAAAAGCTACAATAATGTTGGCTTCATTCAAAATCTTCTTACAACAAAATCACTTTGTGTTCCAAATGTTTAGTCTAGAGAAGCGTCTGTCACACATCCTGCTAGCAATAATGAAAAACACTGGATCTTTACACTAAAGGGTTGCTTTGCGGAGTTGTGTTGAAAAGATTCAACATCAGAATCTGAGGGGACATTTTTGCATCAGTTTAAATTTTTCCAGTAATATACTGGAGTTTTTTAATGTGCAATAAACACTTCCTTAAATTACTTTTTCAAAATCGTGCAGCTTGATTTCAAAGTTACAGCTTTGATTTTATTTATGTTTATTTTTATATGTCACTGTAAATCACTGTATTTTGGATTACAAGCAAACAATCTAGTGAATTGAATCCTCATCAGATTCAAACAAATATCAAGTCTGCAGATAAATGCATTAAATCTCACTGGAATACCATTCATTTCTGCATGAAGGGATGATATCTGCACTTTATTTTAAAGACTCCATGCCCTTATAATAAATATGACCAACTCTGCATGAATGTGCGTGCGTATGAGTGTATATGTATGTGTCCGTCGTTAATTTATATGTGGCATGTTTTGCTGCATAAAAATCATATCTTTAAGACCGCCAGAAGCAGAGGTGGCGTCTTTATTTGGACATATATTTAAAACTGTTAATAACACTGCAAACGTTTGCACTTTCACTTTTTATCCCAGTGTTTCCACTTGGACTGACTTTTTTTTTTTTATAGTTTGCACTGTATAGTTTATACACCGCAATACTCTACAGGTGTTTTGAATGTCTGTTATTTAAAGATTTATTTATTATATATATTTGATGCATTTGCTTTAGGCAATTACTTTTGACTAACTGTATAAAGAAGTATATGAATAAAAGGAATGCATATCAGTTTTGCGCTCACTGTTGTTCCTGTGGCTGTTTAATTTATTGAATTAATTTATTTACGGAGTAAGTAAGAAAGAAGCACTTAAACATAAAATTGAAAATCATGAGTAAAATTTGCTGGTCACTGGTGCAAAATAAACCTAACAAAAATAACAGCACTTCTATAAACACATGCTTGTCCATATGCAGTGCTATTTATATTTAGACTTTATTTAGATTTTCAATTTTTATTTCAATTTTTATTTCAGTTTTAGTATTTGTATGTGCCTTTCACATTTTTATTAGTTTGTTTTGTTTGTGTAATTTTAGTACTCCAATATAAACTTATTTTATTTCAGATAGTTGTCAAGGCAATATTTTTAGGTTTTGAAGCTTTATTTCAGTTTTACTTCAATTAACAAAAATTGTATCTAGTAGTTTCGGTTTTGGTTAACAACAACAACACTGATGAGAAATGCCCTGCATGATCCATAAGGACATCTGATTTTCAATTTTATTAAATTATTAAACAAATTATTTTTTTTAAATGTTGCAGATATATGAAGCTAATGAAAATCCGCGCTTAGTCTAATTCCCTTCAAAAAAAATTTTAAACAAAAAGATTTGGTGCAGAAACAATTTTCACTCACATTGTTAGCAAATTTAACAACTTATTACAAATAAACAGCAAAAGTATTTTCTTGTAAAACATAATGCAATAATCTTTTTTTTATGGCTTTGAAAAAAAGTTACAAATTACAGCGTAGTGTACTTAAAAATAAACATTTCTTACTATTTCAGATTCAAATCACATTCAAAAAATATATATTAATAACAATTAATATTATTATTATCAAATTAATAAATAAAGTGTCTGAGCTCAAACAGACCATATTTCTGAACATATAACTAGAATTCAACTTAAAATGTTTAAGTAGAAAGACAAATATTGTATTTTCTTGTAAAATGAACTCCAATAATCTTTGTAAAACAATGCAATAATCTTTTTGTTTATGACTTTGAAAAAAAGTTAAATTACAGCGTAGTGTACTTAAAAAAACATTTCTTACTATTTCAGATTCAATCACGTTCAAAAAAATGATTATATTAATAGCAATTATTATTAGTAGTATTATTAAATTAATAAACAAAGTGTCTGCGCTCAAACAGACCATATTTCTTAACATATCATTTTATAGAACTAGAATTAGAACTTAAAATGTTGACGTAGAAAGACTGATATTGTATTTTCTTGTAAAAATGTACTCCAATAATCTTTATTTACAACTAAGAAACATTTTTACAGTGTAAAGATTTAATTTTCTGCATTACATAATCAACCAATATTCAAAAATATTATATTATATTACTGGTTTATTATTATATTATATTATATTATATTTATTATATTATATTATATTAATTATATTATATTATATTATATCCCTGTTTTGCATAATGTATTCTGTCTCCATCTAGTGTTTATTTGTTATTTGGAAAAGTGTTCATATTTTACTATGGCCGCAAAGCTGTCGTTCTATCAACAGGCCTAAAATATATTCCGATAAATATGTTTTTCTTCATTTATTTGGATCTAGGCTATACAATATTGACAATGTTTGCAAGACGCGTCGCATGTCTGACGGATCACGTTTGAAAAGCAAGACGAGAAACGAAACAGAAAGTAAAGAGGTCCGGGGAAATTGAGTCCGGCTCTTATAAACGGGGCTCGGTGAACTCTCTCAGCGATATCTCATCAACATGAGCTGCGAGCAGGACGCCGAGACGGGTCATGCGCTCGGCTGTTTCAGGGACAGACTGAAGCGGCTCATTCGGGTCGAGCCACTTCTGGATCTGCTGCATTTCCTCGAACCGGATCGAAAGGACCGGATTAAAGCCAAGTTCCGCGAGGAGGGGGACATAAGCGCCGCGGCGTTTCTGATTGACGAGATTATTCATTCAAAAAACTACGAACAAGGATGGTCGAGAGAGCTGATCACCGCGCTGGAGACTGTCGGCTGCAAACACGCTGCAAAGTACGTGCTGAACAGCCCACCGGAGCCCACGGAAGAGGCCGAGAACGACAGCTGCGTCCGGCTGATCGACCTCCTGCAGCTCACGCTGGTCAGCATGAAGACCGCAGACGTGTGCGCACACTGCCGCGCGCTGGGGCTCCTGACGCCGGAGGACCAGGAGAACGTCAGTAACACACGCTCTTATCAGATCAGGGGTCCCAAACCCGGGGGTCCGTGGATTGGTGGAAAGCTAATCATTGAAATAATAATAATAATAATAGATAGACAGACAGACAGACAGACAGACAGACAGACAGATAGATAGATAGATAGATAGATAGATAGATAGATAGATAGATAGATAGATAGATAGATAGATAGATAGATAGATAGATAATAGATGATAGAATAATAGATGATAGAGAGATAGATAGGTAGATAGATGATAGATAGATAGATGATAGATAGATAGACAGATAATAGATGATAGAGAGATAGAGAGATAGATAGACAGACAGACAGATAGATAGATAGATGATAGATAGATAGATAATAGATGATAGAATAATAGATGATAGATAGATGATAGATAGATAGACAGACAGACAGACAGACAGACAGACAGACAGACAGACAGATAGATAGATAGATAGATAATAGATAGATAGTCATGTAAAAATCATTATCATCAGTAGAGGGCGCTATAAACCAAACAGATACTATTACAAATGTATAGTTTGTGTATTTGAGTTACTGATCTCTGGCTCTGACATACAAAATATTAAACTCACAGTTTAAGAAAATGTTATTAGTAGTGATATTATATTAAATGCAATACAGTAATAATTGTTTATTTTATAATCGATTATTCTTATTATTTATATTATTATAAAAAATAGTATTATCATATACTATATATATATATATATATATATATATATATATGCATATAATACTGCTAATAATCATATTAATAATGATTAATTACTGCAAATTTAATTTAATATACTACTAATACTAGTAATAATTAATATATTGTTATACATTACAATATACTACAACTACTACTACTACTAATAATAATAATACTTATTATATACTGTATTTATATTTATATAGAATAATTTATTTATATTTATTTAATATTCATAAATTATTATAAATTAATAATTAATTAAGGTGAAGTGTCTGAGCTTGAATAAAGAACATTTCTGAAAATAGCCTTTTATGGAAATACTTTTTTTTATTATAACAAAGACATAATTTAATAAAAGTTAAGCGTTCCAAATATTCTGCATATCACGAATGACCCATATTGAGTTTAACGGACCTGCCTGTGTGCCTGTCAGTCCATCTCTCTAGTGTCTGTCAGTGTCTTTCTGTCTGTTCTTGCCATGTGTCTGTCATATTAAATTCACAAACTCTTTGTTCATTATTACTCTGGCAGATTATGAAACTCACTGAGAATCAAGGGAACATAGGTGGCGCTCGGCTGCTTCTCAAGAGGCTGGTGAAAAACGAAGCTGGCTGGTTTTCCAAATTCCTTCAGGCTCTGGAAGACACGGAGCACCATGACCTGGTGCGAGAGCTGCGGGGAGAGCCGTGTAACGAGGACGGTGAGGCTCGTACGCAGGACTAAAGCTTCCTGCACAAATCATCTCCAGCGACTGATAAATAAGTCTATTAAGCTGCCACAGGCTCTCTTAGAAAAACAGGAGTTGGAAATAGGACTCCAGCAGAGGTCAAACATCACTCCGTTGTTTAGACTGGATACTCCACTGTTAGTTTCTGTATAAACCTGAGAACAAACCAGCTCTTACAAAAGATGATCATCTTGAGATTGATTCAACAGAATATGCTTCAAATGTTCTTAACAAACATTACGTCTATCTACTGGGGAACGTCTAGGTTACTTGTGTAACCCTCGTTCCCTGAAGGAGGGAACGGAGTTTACATCTAAGGAGGCTGGGACGCATTCGCACTACAGCCTCACGCGTGCGCCACATCTCTGAGTGTAACCGGTGTTAACTAGTAGGTGTGTTCAACTTGACACGGACCGACTGTGCAGACCGATCGGTGTATTACAGTACCACGAGAGCTAAAGAGAGCAGACTGCTCCGTGCGCTTTCGAATCGCTCTCGCGGATGATCGATCTGCGCCGCACCTCTTCTAGTCGAACACACCGGCTAGTGCTGCAGGCTTATTGGCTCACTGACGCTGATGAGATTAACCCCTTAGGTATCAAAATTTGGTACCGAACGACGAGACGTTTTTTGATACTCGATGGTATCGAGGCAATTCGGTCGGTGCCTAAAAAGATTCAAACTCGAAACCCAGCCCTATATACAGGTGGAGCTGGGGAAGGTGGAGGGTTTCTGAAGCAAGCTGCAACTGCTACGGCAAGCACTGGTCATATATTTGAATGCTGAGCAGCGAGCTCATTGGCTACCGATACAGGAGAGAACCAATCAGCTGTGTCATGTGATAATGATGTCATTAGGTCAGACTGAGTTAGACCTATCGGACTGCGCCATCTAGAGTTTCATGCCAGAACTCTGTATTTCCTTAATACTTTTTGGTACTTTTGAGGAACAGTAATTGGACCTACCGTAAAATTCTTATGTGTTCTTTGTAAATCCTGTATCATTTACAAATAATAATATTAATAATACAAAAATACTGTTTAAAAGTTGGGGGTCAATAAGAAACTACTTTATTTCAGCACTTTGTTTCAGCAAGGATTCATTAAAGAACCCTGGGAAAAAAATTACCATGGTTGTCACAAAAATATTAAGCAACATTTCAACATTGATAATAATCAGAAATCAGCATATTAGCATGATTTCTGATGGATCATGTGACACTGAAGACTGAAAATGATGCTGAAAATTCAGCTTTGATCACAGAAATAAATTACATTTTATAATATATTAAAATAGAAACCAGTTATTTTAAACTCTAATAATATTTCACAATATTACAGTTTTTATCATAATTTTAATCTAATAAATAAAGCCTTGTTGAGCATACAAGACTTCTATCAAAAACATTAAATATCTTACCGACCCCAAACTTTTGAACAGTACTGTATGTTGTTAATGTTCTCATATAATATAAAGTACACAATAAAAAGTAAATTTTGCAATTTAGTAAAGGCCCATTAACACCAATGATAGCTATAACAATATTGATATAATTTTTTTTTATCATTCTAAATGTAAATAAATGTAAAATAGGAGAATCCACACCACAACTATAACGATAACAATAGAGAGAATATCATTGGAATCATTTACAAAATGTTTTTTTTTTCCATCTGATGAAAAATAAAAACATTGACAGAAACGTTTAGAAACGTGCTGTTATACGGTTTGGTATTGATCATAATTCAGTGACCGATATTCTGTGCATTATTATGCATAAGGAGAGTTCTTGTGAATTTAACTGTATTGATTACCTGTGTGTGTTTCAGAGGCCATGTCAGTCGAGACTGTTGAGGAGGGTGAACAGACATGTTTGGAGACTATGCCGGTTCTCCCTCCCGTTCTCTCAGCGAACAGCTCGCTTCTGTCAGAGGATCTGGACAGCAGTGTGGACAGCGGCGGTCTGTGTACGTCTGCTGACAATGAAGGTGAATATCTGAAGCATTATTGTACTGATTGATCTATCTGGGAAAAAAAAAACACCAAAGCCTGGACGAACACATGCAATGCAATGCAAAATGTGAGAGACCAAATACAGTGTTTTAAATCTTCTGTGGCACAAGCCAAACTAACAGCAGCACATGTATTCTCTTACAGAGGTCGACATGTACAAAGAAGTTGAGGAGGAAGAGGAAGAAGATCTCACAGAGGATGATGATCCGTCAGGTACAGTCACATGACTTCCATCCATCTGCAAAACATTCAGGAGTCACTGGTCTTGGTTGTTTGCTCCATTCCCAGCAATTAGCGTACTGTGAAAGATGCATAAAAGCATTAATCATATTACAAATTGCAGTACAGTTTCTATTTATGCCCAACTCTGAACTACTTTATTCAATCTCTAAAAAAAAGATATATTTTTAAATTGTTATCCGGGAGGGTTGTGTGCCATTCACTGAGATTTGAATTAAGAATTGCCTTTTAAATTGCAACTAAATTTCTGAGTATAAATAAACAAAATGCCTGTTATAGAAACTTGCAATTACTGTAATTACTATACATTTCAAATTAAATTAAGAATAAATGAAAGTAAAATAAATACAAGAAAAAGTTAAATAAATACATGATAAAAGTAAAATAAATAAATAAAAGTAAAATGAATCAATCAATCAGTCAAATCAAATCAATCAATAAATATATAATTAGACCAACATGAAGCAGGCTTTCGAGATATAGTAAACCAATCTCTAAATTATGAATTTTGCCCAATACCGTTATCCAATAATGACATACATCTGGGAAAAGTCATGGAAATCCATTGGTCAAAAAGTGAACCAATTTGTAGCAGAATTAAGGGCCATATAACCCTATTTAACAGCGTTATGAAAATTAACTCTGCTTTAATAGTGGTCAAGTCCTTTAATTGTACATTAAATGAATTATTGTCCAGTTCACTGTATGAAAGGAAATGAGACACTAAATCTCTTAACCCTTTGACATTTCAGCTTCACTGTTCACTCTTTTGTGCAATACATCTAATGACCCATAATAATCCAGCCTTTGCTTGAGAATTGTTCCTGCGAGCAATTAACCGTCAGGAAATAATTTTCTTATTATTATGTAACATATGGAAAAGAATGGCTTAGTTGTGTTCAGCGGTTGGATTCTCAGTGGTTCTGTTAGAGCACCATGTGAGACGTTGCCCTCGACCGCACAAAGTTCACGACTTTCATGAGGAAAGATGCATTTGTGAATTTCTGTAAAACACAAAAATTGTTCACATAGTGCAGGGGTGGCGAACATCGGTCCTGGAGAGCCGCAGCCCAGCAGAGTTTTGCTTCAACCCTAATCAAACACACCTGAACAAGCTAATCAAGGTCTAAATAGTTACTAGGAAGCTACAGGCAGGTGAGTTTTAATTAGGGTTGGAGCTGAACTCTGCAGGGCTGCGGCTCTCCAGGACCGGAGTTCGCCACCCCTGACATAGTGCATAATGCTCTCTAGAGACATGAGAAGTGAAAAAAAGAGTTAAAAAGGCAGTTTTTAGTTAATGTAATGGTAAATAAAATATGCATTTAAATCATGACATTGCTAGCATATTAACTGCAAATGCATTATAAATATTCAATATATAAATGAGCCATAGTATTGCCTCAAATATATTGCAAAGACAAATAGCAAGCAATGCAATGCAACTGCGGCATGCATTCACTCCGTACTCACTCACTACTATACATTTCAAATTAAATTACTTTGCATTTAAAAATAAGATAAAATAAAATATGCATTAAAATCATGGCATTGCTAGCATAATCAGTGCAAATATATTACAAATGTACAGTATATCACTGAGCCTTAGTATTGTCTCAGATATACATTGCAAAATGGCAAGAGTAAAGAAACATGTTAAAAAAAAGTTGCACAGATTAATTACTCACTAATTACTATACATTTCAAATTAAATTACTGTCCGTTTGAAACAAAAATCAAAATAAAATAAAACATGCATTAAAAATCATCATGATACTGCTAGCATAATCACTGCAAAAAAAAAAAAGTATATCCTTGAGCCTTAGTATCGCTTGCAAAGACAAATATCAAGCAAAATGCAAATGCAGCATCTAATGCATGGATTCATTACTCACTACTATACATTTCCAATAAATTAAAATAAAAAATAAATATAAACTAAAATAAAGCATGCATTAAAATCATCATATTGCCAGCATACACTCTTAAAAATAAAGGTGCTTCAAAAGGTTCTTCAAGCGATGCCATAGAAGAACCATTTTTGGTTCCACAAAGAACCATTCAGTCAAAGGTTCTTTAAAGAACCATCTCTTTCTTACCTTTTTATAATCTGAAGAACCTTCTTTCACCACAAATAACCTTTTGTGAAACAGAAAGGTTCTTCAGATGTTAAAGGTTCTTTATGGAACCATTTAGACAAAAAGGTTCTTTATGGAACCATTTAGACAAAAAGGTTCTTCTATGGCATCGTGAAGCACCTTTATTTTTAAGAGTGTAATCAATGCAAATATATTATAAACATTCAATATATCACTGATCCCTATTATTGCTTCAAAAATACACTGCAAAGACAAATGTCAAGTGTGATGCATATGCAGCATGCAAAAACTGATGCAAAGATTCATTAGTCACTAATTATTACATATTTCAAATTAAATTAAAATAAAGCAGTTAAATTATGTTTTAATGACCAAACTCAAAACTCGTGCACGGATTCAATCACTCGCTAACCACTTCAGGTGTTTCTTCCTGGACATCCTCAGCTGAGGAATTCCCGGATGCACGTGCTGTCGACCACATTTCAATTATTTGTTTAGTGCATTCTATCCTACTGCCAAAAGTGCTTTTCAAATAACCATCAGCGATTGCACATGCTCATAAACAGCTCGTCCAGATTGATGACTTCTCTAGGAATGTCATATTGTCAGAGAATTATAAACACTCGAGTTTCCTGTTAGCACGTAAAAATGAGTCGCACCAACTAACATCCATTCACAAAACCACTGTGGCAGATTTACATGACCAGTAAAATTCACATGCAATTAATTAAAAACCAAGTTGTTTAGTGCATTAGATTGCAAATGGACGAGTGAGCCGTGAATCTCCTCAATTTTTAAACTACTCAAAAAACTGCAAGTACTGATTAAAAACTACTTAATTACTGTAACGTGAGTATTTGTAAATGGTTACTTCACACCCCTGGATTTAACCTGGTCAAATCATATAAATGGAAGTGTCTTTAGATGAAAAAAAGGACACACAGAGTTCAGTGGAAGTTCAGAACTTATTAAATGACTTGTTCTTTTGCAATAATTCACAATGGCATGTGAAATGTAACCGTTAAAGCGTAGTGTTAAAAGTTAAACCGTAATGTTTAAGACAGTATATTCCAAAGATAAATGCAATTTAGCAATAAATGCTCTTCAGTCATAACGTCAATTTGTAGGCAAATGTGGAAGACTAATTCCATGGATTTTAGGTCCATGGTAAAGATAAAGTAATTTTAGGTCTGTGGCCAACGTTACTTGAAGACATTTGTATAAGATCAGATACTAAGTATCTTCAACTTCCACAATGCTTTGAGTTTAAAGATTTTCATTGCATCAGTTTATGCCCATTTATCCCCCAAAATACTGCAATGAATACTGTATAAATACTATACAAATTAAAGGCAGTACAATACATACCACCATGGATATAAGTATATATAAAATATTTATAAATATTATTATATTATAATATATGTTTCTATTTAAATAAAAAGGGTGCTTAATTATTAGTTATTTAATAAAAGTCATATTATGAAAAAAAGTCTTAATATAGGCTTTTTCTTTCTTATAACACCATGGTATATAAAATCTTTACAATTTAAATAATTTCATAGTTTTTATAAATATTTGTTTAATTGCTATTAAAATAAGTCATATTGCAAAAAAATGTAAATATATATAATATATAAAAAATTTTCTAGGTTTTTGGATTATAATCTGAACAGCTAAACATTTGCAAAGCACAAAATTCACAACAAGGCAACAAAGCTTTTCAAAATGACGTGCTAAATTATCTTCTGGGTTTTATATCTAAAAACTGAGAAACTCTATGAGCTTCATTCGCTACTTTAGTTTAAAGCTCTGTAATTGGACTGATGATGCTGACAGACTAAACTAATGTTTAATACTGGCAGAGAACATTGAGTTTCCACTAGGGCTGCTGCCCCCTAATAGTCGACTAATCGTTAGTCGACCCGAAGAGGCTTGGTCGCTCAAAAAATTTTTTAGTCGCAGAAAAAAATAAAAATCCACATTGGCAAAGTCACGCAGATCGTTAACGGCTGATCCCGGTCTCATGAAAAGGCGTATAAATAGTACGCCAAATAAAAACGAAAACTCGTGGTATTGATACGCAAAAATAGACTTCGGCGTGCATATGATACGCATGTGTTTGGCGTGCATATAATACGCAGTTTTCGCGTGCATATGATACAAACATTTTTGGCATGCTACGCATTTTTCACATACATATGATACGCATTTACCCCACAACCCTAAACCTACCCATTGCATAGCATATACACGCCAAAGTCAAAGTCCATTTTTGCGTATCAATACCACGGGTTTTCGTTTTTATTTGGGGTACCATTTATACACACTTTCATGAGATCGGGTAATACAGTACATCCGGCAGGACATCCAAATGCTCGCCTATCAATCATTCACCACAAATATGGCTTATCATCTGAAATATGTAATTATTAGCAACTTTACATGGCCGCTCAATCTAATGTTAACCTAGAGAAGTGTCTGTGTGGAAGCTGAATATTAGCGCTCACTGCAGGACAGATGGAGGCGCCGGTGCGCTCACTTACTCTTAAAATAGGCTACTCCGTAATTTTTGGTCATACAGATAAGAGTAATACATCTTTCAAATCTGTAAAGACTCCATGTTTATTTGTGTGCACTCACAATAACAACAAAACGTGCTTTTGTAAAATAATGAAAGCAAACAGGATGTGTGAACTCGAGCGCGAAACACCGTGTAGTATATCTTTGCCTTACAGACATTAAATATATATCTATAGAGAGTGAAATGTCTACTTTCAAATGAACTATGGAAAACAAATATTCTCATATAATGTAATCCGTGTGAAACATGCACACTCGCGCATCACTACTGCGGAGATGACGAGTCGGTGTCGCCGAGTTCATCTCTTAAACCGAAACAAAGAAAGCACTTGTTTATCAGTGAATTGTTAAAATCTTAATGCAGCCTCCTTACTGTTTTCCCTGACACATTCATAATCATAGCTTCTTCCAGTGCGCTGTGGCAAGCTTTATGCGTGTGCTTGAGCGCTTATTAGGCTTTGAAGGCAATTAAAGGCTCATTATAATGATTTAAATGGTTTATTAATAAACGTGCGATAAGTCAACTAAAGCTTTAAACGAACAACTACTAGTCGACCAGAAAAATCCTTAGTCGAGGGGAGCCCTAGTTTCCACATGAAGTCCCGGGAATGAAAACACACAGCCCTGCTCCAGCGGCTCGTCTGTCTTCTGCCAAACACTGTTATTCACATTGTTATTCCAGACCGAAGCAAAATGGGCTCTTTTAGAAACCCTATTTTGAATTTCGCCTTTCTGTAAGAGAAACCATTTACAGATGTGAAGATGCACTCAAACAGTCCTCAGTGAGGAATCTGTGTCCTCGTGTTTAGATCATGTGGAATTTTCCCTTTTGATTGGTCTAAATAGTACTGGTGAGCTAGAGGCTATTAAACAATCTTTACACAGGAAATCTCACAAAAACATATCCAGGTCACATTTCATCACAATATCAAAAGAAAAATATGGGATGTTGTTTTTAGTAATTCTGATTTTTCTCAAAGCTGATTCCCATTAGATTTTTTTTTTATGAAACAAAGGGCTTTTTAAAATACTTCACAAATTAATCAAATATTTTAAAATATATTTTAATTGTAAAATAATATTTTATTTAAAAATATATCTAAAATATTTTATATTATATATTTGCACTGTGATGATGTTTTCTTTACAAATAAACATATTTACAATTAATTGCAGTAATGCATCAAGACATTTTAATTTTGAGTTTTAATAACAATGATTATTTTCAAAGCTGATTTCCATTATATTCTTAATACTGTAATGCTTTAAAAATGTAATATTTAAAATTTAGGCATAAATGGCAGACTAAACAAATATTTAATATTGGCAGAGCACAATGTTTCCACATCAAGGAAACACAACTTAAATATAAAATAGTGTAAAATATATATATATTTTAAATAAAAACATTTTTATATTATACATTTTTTTGCATTTTTATAAAATAAAATAAAGTATTTGTATATATATTATTTTCCAAAACAGATTCTTATTAAATTCTTAATACTGTAATGCTTTAAAATTTGTATTTTTAAATTAAGGAATAGAAGCAGTACAATAAAAACTACTCTGTACACACTTTTTTAATCAAATAATTGAAACACAAAATTATATAATTATTATAGAAAAAATAAATAAATGTGCAATATTTTTCCTCACATCACAGTTATGATAATGAGCAAAAAATAAAACTGAACTAAAAATTGACTTCTGAAATCTACAGAAAAAGTTCAGTGTTTTTTTCTTTAGATTTTGAGGGTAAATATTGCCATGTTCTTCACAGGTTTTTGAGACTCACAGCAGACTCACAGACAGTCTGCATGCGCTTTAGAATGGGTGACTTCATAAACAATGTTAATCTAGCTAGCAGGGGATAAAGAAAACACAGCTGTAATTGCAATAGCTGAACCACCGAGACACACGACCTCCTCTGCACTGATGCTGCAGGCAAACACCACTGTCTGATTACAGGATCGCCTCTCTCTCTCTTTCTCTCCTTCCTCAGAGGAAAGTAAAAGCAATATTGTACTGCGTGACTATCAGATGGAGGTGGCGAGACCAGCTCTGGAGGAAAAGAACATCATCATCTGCCTCCCTACAGGAAGTGGGAAAACCAGAGTTGCTGTGTATATCACTAAAGAACATTTGGAGAGGAAGAAGCAGACGGGACAACCGGGCAAAGTTGTTGTTTTGGTCAACAAGGTGCTGCACAGCCGTCCATTTACTACAAATATAACAAATTCACTTGTAAGATGTAATCGTGTCCGTATTATAAACAGTAAAACATTATTAGTAATAATTTAAACTATAGTATTTATTAAGAATATAGTACAAGACATTCTCCGATTCGTTTTGCTTAAATTATTTAATATTTGTATTTATTTATTTTGTTAAACCCCAAACATGTCTCATCAAATTCTTATAGGAGCAAATGATCTTGTTATTGATCAATCAATTTGTTTTTGTTGTTGTTTGTTCAAACAAATATTTATATTGGTCTTATTTTATTAAAACTCAAACATTTATCATCAAATTTTTACAAGACCAAATGACACTGGTATCAATAAAGTCTTCATTTAAATATTTTTATTTATTTAAATTAATATTTTACTTAAACATTTCTCATCAAATTTTTACAAGGCAAATAATCTTGGTATCTATAAATTATTCAAATATTTTTATTTATTAAAATAAATATATTTATTTTACTAATTTTATTTGATTAAAACTTAAACATTTCTCATCAAATTCTTACAAGGCAAAATAATCTTTGTATCTATGAATTATTCAAATATTTTTATTTATTAAATTTAAATTGATTTTACTCATTTTATGTTATCTGTTAAAAATTTTTATATTGATGATATTTTATTAAAACTCTACATTCTACAAAAAATAAATTTCTCATCAAATTCTTACAAGGCAAAATAATCTTTGTATCTATTAATTATTCAAATATTTTTATTTATTAAAATAAATATTTATATTGATTTTACTCATTTTATTTTATTTGTTAAAAAAATGTTTATATTGATATTTTATTAAAACGCTACAATCTACAAAAAATACATTTCTCATCAAATTCTTACAAGGCAACATAATCTTGGTATCTAGAAGTTATTTACTGTATTTTAATATTTTATTTATTAAAATAAATATTTATACTGATTTTCATCTATTTCTTTATTTTATTAAAACTCAATCAAATTCTTACAAGGCCAAATGTTCTTGGTTTCTACAATAATTTTAAGCTGAGCTCTCACTTCAACAATCGACTCATGTGTTTATTCTTAGAATTTTAAGAGAAACATCTGAGACAAAGTTGATTCTTAGTTGAAACATCAAGTCTTCTGAGCAACTTTTGTGCAAGAACAATCTTTACTGCCCAGACTGATTAGTTCAGCAGGTACGGAGCTAGAGGTTTTTAGGTCTCTGAAAAAGAAAAACAGAAACTTGATGATTTCGAGTGTTTGCTGTAGCAGCAGATGGACTTTTTGTCCTGCTGAATCATGTCTTGAACTGTTTAAGTTCATAAAGTGTATTAAAAGATCCATATCAGCAGAAGTGTGGTGCAAACATACAACTCAGCACTTCCGTTGGTGCAGATTTCCTCTCCCATTTAAAGACAATTTAAAGTGATATAATCAACAAAAAAATGCCATGCAATGCCCTGGCGACCAAGGAGAAAGGCCTTGTTGCAACCTCTCTGAAATCAAGTAATAATGTTATATGATTTCTTTGCAGGTTCCCCTGGTCGAGCAGCACTACAAGGCCGAGTTTGGGCGGTTTCTGAAGCACCAGTACTCAGTGGAGCGGGTCAGCGGAGCCTCGCAGCTCAAAATCTCCTTCCCACAAATCATCGAGCAAAACGACATCATCATCTGCACAGCACAGATTCTGGAAAACTCTTTGGCCAAAGCCAAGAACGGTGACGAGGACGGGATCAAATTATCACGTAGGTCACATTTTCCTTCACTCACACTCTCAAAGAGTCCGAGTCCACAGTCAAATGGGTTCAGCCTCTCTCAGACGTTGAAAGGAGACCAGAGCTCCTCCTCTGAGGTTTCATGTGACAGTGTTTTTCCCCATCAGTCTTTGCTGGCAGGTTCGGCTCTCCTGCGAGTCTCTCTGGCAGCATCCGCCGCAAGGTGGGATTCCTCCTCTGTGGCATATGCTGTTTGTTGTTTTTCCCCCCTCGTTTTACTCTTAAACCTTTTTTTTTTTTTTTCCACATGTCTGGCTGATCAAATTCAGTGGAGATTTGCTGTCATTTTCAGAGTCTGAGTTCCGTTTCATCTCCCACTCCAGCCCTGAGGGGCCAAACAGGCAGCACCTTTAAAGTCTGATTTGTAAACGTGGCCCCATCACCCACCGCCTCTCTGTCAGTGTGTGAAATGCAGAATACCTTTTTTTTCCCTAGGGACCCCTGGGAGTGCCAGAAGGCTGCACAAAAACGCCTGTAAACTGAGCCGGTGAGAGTGGACTGGAGGTTTACAGCACCCGCTTTTTTTGATTAGAAACACATGCTAAAAAAAAATGATGGTATTTGCATGTAAGGACAATGAACAACGTATTATTAACATGTATTTCATGTATACAGTTGGCTGGTGATTAATTGTCATAAAAATAACTGCAATTAAAGGGAAAGCTCACCCAAAAATTATGTTCTGAAGAATTGTAGGGACCTATGAAACACTTTTCTTTTTTTTTCAAAATTCCGTTTTTTCAGTTTTAATTTGACTGGATTCAGTTGTTTTTTTTGTTTTTTTTTCTTTTCATTTTTTCATTAGTTTTAATGGTTACATAAAAAAAATATTAATCAAAAAGCATGTCCAATTAATTTAAAACTTGAAACTTACACAATTTAACAGCAATTAAATAAAAAAGTTTAAAAATTAAATAAATAAATAAACATTACCTATCAAAAACGTTTTATTTTTCTCTCAAATTCAGTTTTATTTTGACCAAATTCTGTGTTTTCCATTCATTTTCTGGATTCCATTTGAATGGTTGCATTAAATTTTAATAATCAAAAGCATCTTTAATTAATTGATTTTACAAAACAAAAAAAATATTATTTTATTTATTTTTTCAGAAATACTGTGTTGTGTATTTACATTTTTCTGGTAAGTAAATTTTGGTAAATAATTTTTCTTGCAAATATTCCTTAAAAATAATGTTTTAATAATATTTCTATTAGTAGTAGTAGTACTATCATTACATTAAGTAATATATTTCTGTCACAGTTTCTTCAAGTTAAACCGAACTTTTATTTTGAAGGGTTGCTGTGAAGACCTTTACGTTTCTGTTTGTATATATGACGATAGTTTTTCTCAAAAGAAATGGTAAAATGCTCATGAAGTGACTCTTAGAGCAGTTCTAGAGGTAATGTTCATGTGTTCATGTACTCATATATTGAGGCGCCATTCATTCACACAGAAACACACAGAACATGCAGGATTCATGTTTAAATACTATTTTTATTCATCCAAAATTTGACAAATTCCATGATATTCTGCGTTGTATAGTAAATTCCTTTTTTTTTTGATTGGATTCATAGGGCCCTAGAATTAGAATAAGTTAATGATGAATTTTTGGGTGAACTATCCCCTTAAGGCAAGACACTACAGGGTGAATAGGGTAAAAAGTAACTAATAGGTTATCACTATACTTTCCATAGTTGATTTTCTGAATGTTTAAATATGCACACGAGGCATTATCTACCTAAATGTGCACTAATTTGCATGCATTTCCAGAACAGAAATCAGACATTAGACAAAACCAGGTTCAAAATTATTGTTTCATTTTGTTAGCTAACTCCATTAATCACTCCATAAATTAGAAAATACTGTCAACAGTCCGAAAACAAATTCACCATATTTTTAAGAATAAACAGTTATATAAAATCAGGTGAATTATATTTGAACAAGCCCCTCTGTAAAGACCTTCAGAATATAGATAAGAATAAAACTGTAAAGTTTGGTGTATGTAAGTGCTGCTGAAGTGGAGATTTCAGACTCAAAATTAGAAGAAAAAAAAAAACAAATTTTGAGAAAATGCGCCTTTAAATATATGCATTGTAATTTAAATCTACAGAAACAAACAGATAAGGTATAATAAAAGAAAGTGTGTATTTTTAATGTTTTCTTTCCACTAGTTTGAAAGACATCTCAAAATTGACCAGGGGTGTGTTTCCCAAAAGCATCATTGGCTAACTTTGGTTGTTAGTTCCATTGAACTCTATTGGTAACGACGAAACTTGCGACCATAGTTGCTTTTGGGAAACAACAACAACAACAAAAACTATGGTTTTGCCTGTAGTATCCTGTCCTAAGAAGTCATTTATTCACATTAAACTTGAAATCAAACAATAAAATTAAATTAAATCTAATGTAAGGATATAATGCACTAGAAGGTCATTCATAATTTGAAATATTTAAATATTAAGAATAGAATAGTTTCCTATATCTATGGTAAGTACACGCTGAACTGAATAAATTATGTTTCAATTCCTATATACTTGCAGAGTTCACTCTGATGGTTATTGACGAATGCCACCATACGAAGAAGGGCGGTGTGTATAACCACATCATGATTCGCTACCTAAAACAAAAACACCAGAACCAGCTACTGAAGAAGCAGGAGAAGAGTCCAGTTCCGCTCCCTCAGATTCTGGGTCTGACGGCCTCACCTGGTGTGGGAGGAGCGATGAGCCAGCAGATGGCAGAGGAACACATTCTCCAGGTAATATCGACACTCCCTTCCGGTATTGCTTCTTCAGCTTCTGTGCTGTTCTGCAAGTCTACAGTGATACAGCAAAGACAAAACATGTTATCTGAGTTGTGATATTGCAGGCAGCACATCTTTTTTTTTTAACATTATAATGGCGGCGCGTTCACACGCTGCGGCTTCTCTCTCTCCCGACAGAAAGGTGTTTTCGTGTTTTTTGTCTTGTGAGTCGCAGTGTTTTTGTACGTATTCGTCGCGTCTATTTGTTTCTAAGCGCGCATATAGTCAAGTCAAGTCAAGTCAAGTCAACTTTATTTATATAGCGCTTTTAACAATACAGATTGTGACAAAGCAACTGAACAGTATTAATTAGGAAAATAGTGTCAATAATGCAAAATGACAATAGTCACATATAGTCGTGAGTTTCTGCTCGATGTCGGCAGAGCCACATTTTTAGAGTTAAACTCTGCGCACGCCGAAGAGCTGCGGGATCTCGGTCTGTTCCGGAGGCCCACAACATCACCGACCCCCACTACTGCATCTCGCCCACAGCGGAGGCGCCTCAAGCGGCGCGAGAGGAAGCAGAAGAGGGGTAAGAAGCAGAAGAGGGGTAAGCGCGGAGGTATCCGGGCTAGGCTAGCGGCTAACCCACACAAGCCAGCTATCCCTATCATCGTACTGGCTAATGTACGCTCTTTGGACAATAAACTGGACTACATCCGACTACTACGCTCAACTCAGAGGACTGTAAGAGACTGTTGTGTTTTTGTGTTCACGGAAACATGGCTCAACAACAG